AGTCGTAACTAACTCATAACTAATGACTCGTTGCTAGTAAGTCGTAACTAGCTAATAACTAATGACTCGTTACTAGTGAATCGTAGCTGAACGGCAGAGCTCTGAACTCACACCATCGCTGTTTATCAGACACCGCGCTGGTTCCAACCAGAGAAATGTGGGATAAAGGCCTACATACATAACTATGGTTCCGACAGTGTTCCTGGATCTTTGTCAGTCTGGGAGCCGCCGTCAGCCTGGTACCGAACCGCATCTGAGGATGAGGCCTGCTGCTAGCTGTTAGCATGCTACCTAGCTTCAGCTGCCCCCAGTTCGCTGTTAGAACACGCACAGAGACACGGGGATGTGGAGAAAACATACCTCACGACGTGAAAAGCTCAACGTGCTCCGCTGGACTAAAAGAGGTTTATCAGCTTGAGTTTTACAGCAGCTAGTTCAGTCCAGATCATCAGGACGTAGCAACACGCAGCCTGCAGGGGGCGACATCCCCCAACAGCTTCATCCACAACAGCAGCAGCAGGATGTGGTCAGAGAAGCACCTGGACCGGAGCCATAGGACAAGGTCCAGTGTGATCGGACGCTGATGCCGAGAGCAGGCTGCAGGGAGGTACCAGGGTTTGGGTTCGATTTTAATGATTCATGTTGTATCAACACCAGCAGCTGCACAGAGCGAGGACAGAACAGCTGCTGTACAGCTGCTGAAAGAGCCTCATCATGTCCACACCAAAACAATATTGGCTTTCTGAAAAAGGAACTGACACACCGAAGGCAAAGCTTTAAGCAGATTTAGGACTAAATCCTTCCCAGCAGGGAGAACATTCAAAGTCCATACAAAGAGCCCAGATCAGACCAGAACCTTGTCGCCCACAGTGATAACCAGTGGCCACCGTGCCGCCCTGTAGATCTGCATAAATGTGGTATTTCTCACTTTGTTTGCTTTTTAAAACAATATAACAGCAGTTCTCATCCCAGTTCTGTGCATAAGACACGTGAAATGATTCAAAACGGTGTCGCCTCCCAGTAACTGCACTATGTTGAAGCTGAACGCGGCATATTTATCTCATGTACGATCAAAATGAAGGCATCGTTTTTTATAAGGGCGTGTTACTGCACAGGAGTGACTGTGAGTGACGTTCTGGGATTCATGTAAATGTGAGACAAACTATGGATTATAGCCACTGATTGTAGGATTTGAAAAACGTTATGTTTAGGGTGAAATGTACAGGCTGTACCTTGTACTGCATGTGTGTGTATTTACAGACTTAAAGAAAAGTCTGCACATGTTCTTTGTTTCTCTTTGATAAATGCATCTTGAATTAGGTTTGGCTTTATAATATGCAGAGTGCTAAGACTATGTATATGACGGACATGTATGTGAGTTTTCTATCTGACAGCAGAGCATTCTGGGTAAACATGATCCTGCTGTTTAGAATCAAACACACAGATTTTAGATGTCAGTGCAAACATTCGACTCTCATTTCATTTATTGATTTGCTGTTCTGCATAATTTGTTGACAGATGAATTCTTCAAAGGTGGATGTGGAAGTACTTGTGTAGTATTCCTCGCAGTATTCCAGTCAAAGCCAACAGAGCCAGCGTGAGCATCACAGCCAGAGTCAGGTAAAAACCAGGTAACCTGTGGACCAGACAGCACTCAGTCATCATCCTCATACTGTGGACAGTCTTTTGAGCTACACATTGTGAGTATTTTAGCTACAGTCGGTGTGTTTAGTTGTTCAACAAAGTGTCTGACCTTTTCTTGGTGGACTTTACATATCCGTTGAAATACATTTGTCGGGCGACCATGTACACCAGTCCTCCAACAACGGCAGCCAGCTCACTGAAGAAGGTCGAACAGGTCCACAGCAGAACCAGGAACATGGGGTAGAACTCCACACAGTTCTGACTGCACACAGGGGAGACGGACTGTTACAGAGGCAGTCTGGATGGAGGCTGGTAAGTCGCTCCTGTGTTGCTGCTGTGAGGTCTACCAGCACCTCAGTGGGAGGAAATGTCTCTCACACTTCATACGTGTACATGTAAAGGAACTGTCTGACAGTTTGGGAAATACGACTTCACTTTCTAGCTGAGAGTTTAAAGAGATACTCGGCACTCGTACGTCCGTCTGTTTCACATGAAGCTGGTTCTAGCAGCTCTTATGCTAAGCTTATTACACATACTGGACCCAGGCTTAAACAACTAGCTTCCCTCCGTCTAGAAAGTCGCTACAGCCGCCTCCAAATCCTTTTTTACCTTTGGACAGGTGCAGGCTGTTTGTTTTCACTGAGTGTGCTAATTTAATAAGCTAAGTGTCTCCTGGCTGCAGCTTCACATCCTGTAAACACCATTTACTGGCGCTGAAGCTAGATTAGATTAGATTAGATTAGATTAGATTAGATTAGATTAGACATAACCTTATACCTGTCATTTGTTGTCATTGTGTTCAGATCTAGCGCTCAGCAGGAGAACTAATAAGTGCATTTTCCAAAATATTTAACCATTACGAATCATAAAATCCTGAACAACGGACAGAGTCAGAGGTTTCCTGATGTCCCTGAAGGCACCGCAAGAAAATCCAAATAGCTGCAAAATGAGCACAAGGTGGCAGAACAACTACGACGTGTGTCGTGCTCCAGTGGAGTGGAGTCCTGAAGACGTAACGCATGCCTTTATCTCATCTACAGCCACCAGCTTCTACACTGTGTCACCAGATCCTTCTTCTTACACTTCACAATGAAATTTACACTGAAGGTTTCCAAAATGCTGTAAGTCAGTGTTCCAGGAGTGTGATCTATTTAACTCCTCAGGAATGGAAATACACAAATGTACCATAACTCATGTTTGTCTTGTCAATGCTGCAACAAGAACAAACAAAATCATTGAAGATTTTTAGATGCAGCATTTCTGTGAGCAGGACTGGTGTTATTCTAAAAGTGTTTAATAGCTATAGAATATGGATCTTTGCTAGATTTCCCAAAATGCAAACTATTCTTTTACTCTCAAAACAATCATAATTAGGCCAAACTGACACAGTGATCCTATAATATTACTGTATTACTGTTTTCTTACTGTGCACGGAAAGTCCTCTCAAACTCTGGAGGTCCAGTGACAGCAGGAGGCAGGATCTTGTGAGCCATCCTGGACCAGCCGACCCGTCGGGCCAGGTATCCTGCAGGGACACAGAGATGGTAGGGTCAGGTTATAAAGTATAGAATAATAAAGACAGACTGTATATGAACATATACACCAGCTTCACACAGTGTCCAGGCCCCTGAACTTGCTGCACAGTTCATCATGTTGTAAATTCAAGCGCAAATGAATAAAATAGTTTATACTTTTTTATTTATTTTTACCAGTTTATGTTCAATAATGAATAACAAAAAAATGAGAATGTGTTTTTACACAAGATTCCAGATTCATTAATAATCAAAAACTGAAATATTTTATTGACAAAAGCTCTTCGCTGTGGCCGTAAAGGTAGAAGCAGTACTTCTTATCCAGTAAACATCTCCTCATGGTCCACGAGCTGTTCCCTCTGTGTGCACAGTCTGTAGTTGTAAAGGTCCCACAACAGAGACTCAGCACCGCACCAGTCTGGACCCGGAACTTTGAGGGTTTAACCTCCTGCTGTAATCTCCCTGTTTGATGAAAATAGTTGGTTCTGGTATTTTTTGTGACAAGTTTCATGTGTTTCAATGATTCCATCATAGAAAATTCAGAGTTCTAGGAGTCACTGGAAACGACAGACGACATGATACACACAGTCTGTTCAGGTAGATGTAAACCTTATGTGTACCTTTGTTCTGGATACGTTAAAGAAACTGATGATGATGATGATGATGCAGCCTTGTTTGCATCTGGATCTCTTACTTTGAAAAGCTGGAACAAGTTGGAGACAGTTGTTAAAATGCAGTAATCTCCCCTCACCTAACCTGACACCCCGCGATGGTCGGCAGTGTGAAAGCAGCCGATGCGAACACACTCAGCGCGCTGATGTGCAATATTTGATTATTCTTGCAGTATTTCAGTTTAATGTATAATATTTCAATTTCATTTGCAATATCCTGATGTCATTTTGGATATCGGGGCTGCAGGTGGTTCAGTGGTTAGCACCGTGGCCTCACAGCTAGAAGGTNAAGATCCCGGGTGTCCTCACCGGGACGCCAACCGGCGACCTTCTAGCTGTGAGGCGCTAACGGTGCTAACCACTGAACCCCCTGCAGCCTTTTCTAGACTTGAGCCTCCTGCAGCTGTAGCGTCCGTGACGCTGGCTGGTGCGATGTGAGGCTATGCTCCTTCCCAATGAAGAAAAGGCAAATCACACTTAACTGAAAGTGCCCTTTAACTCGAACCCTAACCCGATTCGAGCAGCTGGCTGCAGGACGACACTTCTGCTGTATGAATAGACTCTGTTGACAGAATCCAGCTGAGACTTCAGGTAATCTGACGTCTGCATGAACTCACTGCTCACGTTTCTTTACGAGTGGCTGAAGAACAGTTCACCTTCAACACAAGTCTGAGTGTCACATTACAGGAGAGAGATCACCTCTAGCAGAACTTTGTGAAGTGATCCAAAAGGACCTTTCCACATTTCAGGCCCAATATTCATTTAAAAACATCACAGAGGCGGTTACACAGTTTGTGTGCTAAAATCACAACACACTGTAAATCTCAAACCTACCAGGCTGCAAAATAAAATAAAAAAAATGTCCATAAAAATGAACGTTTACTGCAACGTAAATGATGATAGGAGCAGAAAGCGAGCAAAGCAGGAAGGAATGGTGGCAGGAAGCTGCTGCCTGTGTGGACGATCAGCTCATTAGTTTAGAATAAAACCTGATCACTGCTCATCATGAAGGCTCGTATCAGACCAGCAGCACATCTCAGGACTCCTTTAGCTCCTGTGCTGCCTGATGGACAGACTCGTGGCCTATCTGACATGTTCTACCTCCAGCTGCAGCCCTGGAGGTGTAGAAAGGACATGGGAGCAGATGGAGAACCAACAGAACCATGATCCAAAGCGGTGCAGCTCATTAACGTGTCCTACAGATACGAGCTTTAATGCTGAAGTCAGTTTGCTGCTGTGGCTGATGTTGATGTAAATAAATATGAAGCAGCTTTGACACTGTCTGTAGCCAGCAGGAGACACATGAACTAAGGCAGACAGGAGCTCATAGAGATCCTGGTCAGGGGGCACTAAGGGGTTCTGCTGG